TGCCTGTGTGTGTGTGTGTGTGTGTGTGTGTGTGTGTGTGTGATCCTTATGGTGTATAGCCCAAACGAAGTAGTTGCACTGGTCGCCCCTCACCACCTTTTATCACAATAAAAATACCGATTTTGGAGGCATTAATTCATTGTAAATTTCGTTATATCAGACGCATGTAATTTCGTACGCAAAGAAGAACAACATCATTTATTAACTAAGATGGTAATTCACGATATGCTCAATGTCCATTTCCAACGAGTATGTCCTTGCTATGATGATTTCTGAACTTGGTGTTCAATATGATTGAAATATCTTTGTTTTAAAAAATAGGAAAAAAGAAACATAAGGTCATGTCAGTTTCAAATTACTAGTATTAGTGTCATCTCATATTCAAATTGAATCAATAAGAAACGGCATGTGGACACAAGAGCTACATGGTCTAATTTTTAAGGTAGAACCAGGAACATACTTGGCCCTTCCCAATTCTCGGATAGTTGAATCGACAACAAAACCGACGGGTTCTAATTGGTCAATTCAATAGATAGTTCTAGGTATAACCTTGCAACGTGGATTCAATACTCCCCCTCGAATGTAAGTCGATTCCTACACGTCCCGTGCGGGTCGGGGTCCCGGCGGCCATTGCCCATGCCTAGCCCACCCCTAAATGGCCGGCCACCCAACGTGTGCCGAGAAGATGGGCAAAGGGGGATAGACTCACAATTTCGATGAAATTGGGGTATTGGCCCAGGTTATTTGGGCTGATTAATCTGCCTTCAGTGTTGAACTGCTAGACACAGTTGGCCCAGTTGACTGAAATCTGATCACAGTGACTTATCTTCTGGCCTGAAGGGACTTTATGATCATCGTTCCACATTCACGCACCAAATTTCCATGTCTCTTGAGCTTGATGTTGAACTATTAAAGATCGTAATGTACTCACTTATCAATTCAGATTGGATGGGCATGGGATGGGGCAGCAACGTAACCCCTATACCCAGCGCGAGGCAGGGCAAGGCAATCGCCATGAGCCAATAGTGGCCTGCGGTGCCCCACCCTAAAGACGTAGCCTTAATTGAACTACGAATCGATCTCACTTCTGAATTTTATACAGTTGGGTATGCTCCAACCTTCGCAAGTTAGTCGAATGTGGGACAAGGTGAAGAAGAGCACATGTAAAAACAATCGTCCCATGTTATTTACTTGGGAAACTTTCCAAGCTTGTGTCTTTTATAGAAGTAAGACCAGTGACTCGTGAGTGAGAATATCCCAATAGCTTTGCCCTCCGTTGGTTGAGTAATGAAGATTATGAGCTAATCTATCGTTTAGAAGACATATGGCTCTCCTCTATTTTCTTTAGCCAAACACTTACGTGTTTCCAATTCCAAATATAAGTTGTATTAAGTTAAGCATTCCCAATCAAGAGGGCCATCAATTTCATGTTGTTTACACCGTGCAAACTTCTACTGCATTATATTGTAGTCATAAGGTGGGCGCTCGGTGAACAACAAGTTTACAGATCACATTGCATTAGTCCAAGACAATCCTACTAGGAAATTGTTGGACTTGGTTAATAAATTTTGTGGGGGCACCTATGAGGTTCGACCCGATCCGACTGAATGAAGACACATAGCTCATTGACTAAGATGTTTGTTTCTGATTTGGAGTATGGATTAGTGATGGAATTTGAGGAGATATAAAGCTATATCTCATCTCAAATTCCTTCCTAACATCCTCAACAATCTTGTATTTTACTCGCTATCTTACTTGTTGGGAATGCTATTAAAGATAGATATTCGTATCAAGTTCTTGCACAAGTGAGTGCGCGACGAAAAGCCATCCTAGAGTGTCATTTTCACCGTTTCTATGGAAAAACACAAGACTCTTAGGTTGTGATATGTGGGTGTAGTTCATTTATGTGATTATACTCTGACCATGAGGAGATTGTTAATCAACCGTGTTCGTGAATCTATAGGGTTCGTGCTAAATCAACTTGTGAAATTTGCTCAAAGTTGAGGTAGGCACACCATGAACTCATTTTTACTTATGAATGTGAACGTTATATATGCGCTACCATAGAATAAATATGCTATGTATAAATTGTTATACACCATTGAAATCCATAAATACTTTTTTTTCCTATGTAATTCCAAGTTTGAAAAGGCTGAAATATCTATGAAGCAGCATGTCCAAACCAATAATCCTTTCCCAAGCACAAATTCCTAATGTCCTTGTAGTGACACAAAGAGATAGTTTGAGTAGCATCCCGCGATAATTACAATCAAAGTTTCAATAAATGACAAAAGGAAAAAACCAACCGAAACGCCTTTTCTTTTACCAATTAACATCCAATTCAAAGACCCCAGCTCAAATTAAATTTTCCTATTCGTCGAGCAATGTTCCAGTCAAGAAAGTGGAGAAGCCCTTTATGCACATCCAAATCAAGATTATAGTATTCTTGGAATGTGGGGGCACCAGGTTTTGGATTAAGGTGGCACCAAACGGTTGCCTCCCAGGGAATGGAAAAGGAAGAAAGCTTTTAGGTTTCTGCCTTTTTTTCCTGGAAAAGCGGCCACCATGGGTAAAAGAGAAAGAGCTTTTCCAGAGTCATCTTATTCGGTTTCTCGTATCCAGGAAGATGAAAAGGAGTTGGAAAAAGCGATCCCGCTTTGATATATATGAATAATCTGATATAAACGACAACTCTCTGGACCACACTATGGGGTAGCTAGCAGATGGACAGCTTTTCTAGAATCATCTTATACGCTTTCTCGCACTGAGGAAGATGAAAAGCAATTGAATGAGTGATCGATCCCGCTTGATATATTATTATAATTGATGAAGCAAAAATATCTGTGCTCTTCTTTCTTTTACTATATTTTCTCGTGTGGAACTTGCGGATTTGATTTCATAATTAAGAATACACTTTTAAGTACATGAATGTGTTCTTGTGTGAAGCATTATTGTCGAGAACCGAGTGTGAGTTGTGCTAAAAAAGTCTCATATCGGAGAATTGATGTGATGTGGAACAGTTAACATATCTTAATTGGCCCATAACTTATTGACTTAATCTTTTGAGTGAAGATCAGTTCAACTGGATACGTTGACGGACTCGAACTTAAGCTCCCTTGGTCAAGGTATCGAGTTTATGATGTGTGCTCTCAACACATGGTATCAGAGCTAATGGTTGCAACGCAATTTTTGAACGGCCTTCATGGTTCGGCCTGGCGTTAAGAGACCATGGATAAAGGTGGGCGTGTGTAGCAACGCTGTCCCAATGACAACCATCATGGTTCGTTAGGAGAAAAGGTAGGTGTTTAAATTTTAGTTGAGACATGTTGATGAGCTCACACAAGAGGTTCTATCACGCGAAAGGTGGACCTTTAAAAGGATCTCTTGGTCTAGCAAAAGAGATAGGGGTAGGGAGTAGACCTAACACCTAAAGATAGCCTTCATGGTTCAGTTAGGAGAAAGGGTGGGTGTTTAAATTTAAGTTGAGACACGTTGATGAGCTCACATGTGAGGTTCGATCAAGCGAAAAGGTGGGTGTTTATTCAAGTTGAGACAGGTCACACGTGAGGGGGAGATTGGTTGATTGGTGGCCCACTCCCGATGTATCGATGCTTGGTGAATATTTCAATGAATATAACGATAAAGTGAGCATTTGACAAACATTAGGGACGAACTCAAAATTCTTAACACTCTTTGTAGATGTCTAACCTCCACGCGATTTGATTATTCAAAATGGATAATCAATTGAAACCGACCTTCTCACTGGCCTCTCCTCCTCCCTAGACCTGATTGACCATCATGATCATTCAAATCATCAATCTCCTTTGACATTTCGTTTCGCTATCACCAACGACAATGCCCATCGCGCAATTGTTGTCGCCGTCGAGACGCTAAGAGAACGGCCGGGAAGAGGGAGGGGGCCGATGATCAACACACGACAGAGGAGGCAATTGCTGTTTGTACCTACGTGGAAATATAACTTAAGATGTAGGCTCTGTATTTGAGAAAGAAAAAAATATCGTTAAGGTATAAGTAACCATGGAGAAAATAGTAATAACCAGTTTAGAAAATTGAGACTTTTTTTAGATTAAAAAAGAGTTTTGAGTGAATGTGTTTAAATGAAATTGGTTTATGATTTTTTAAGGTATTGACCCTTGAACAAATGACATGCATCTACAACGTCAGATGACACGTATGGCAACTAATTGCGAAATTGGATGGAATGCTAAATTTGGGCCGGTGGTATCACTTTTGGGAATTTTTATGGCAAGAAAAGCAGTTTTGAGTACATGTGTCCAAGTGATACCAGCTTAGGATTCTTCATGACATTAATCGGCCTTAATTTTTTGCATCACTCAAATTGAAATTCAACAATCAAATGACTAATCTTTGATGCTAGTTGATCATTTCAAAGCGTCAGTTCGCTACAAATGGCATCAAGGTTTTTTTCAACATATCTCCTCATTCCATTCTTGTTCATTCCTTTTTTAGGGGAGTTCGAGAGGAGTTGAATGTATCCCGAAGGTGAACGGATGGTTCAAATCCAAGCCAAGGTGGTGATGATTCAGGTCCAAGATCCGAAACCCTCCATGTCAAGGTGATGGTGTTAGGTCCAAAGCTCTCTTGATCTTATAATGCTTTGATCTTTGTTTCAAAAAACATGGAACTTTTCATGTTCCTCCTAAAACTTCTAATGTGGTACGTACCTTGGACGACGTTCTTTCAAAAACCGACCATAATTTCCCATGTACTTTCACCTAATAACAACAGTTTCAACCCCCGCTCATGTTGTTCAAAACGAGCGATGTGTCGTAGTTTTATATGTTTCACGCAAGTGGCCCCCCTAATTAATTATCTATAGTATTTAAGAATGAGTTCCAGCTAACATAATTGCGACCATGGTTCCACAGAACAACCTAAAGGAAAATGAAAAATAAGAGAGAGAGAGAGAGAGAGAGAGAGAGAGAGAGAGAGAGAGAGAGAGAGAGAGAGAGAGAGAGAGGTAAATACAGAACGATTTGAATATATTAAAAGGTGGAATTAAGCAAGATAAAAAAGACGAGGCGTTTGTGAACACGGTTACAAAAGGAAGGGGGGGGGGGGGGGGGGTTTAATGAGGGTTTTCCAAATTAAAGTTTAGGTGAGAACACCAGCTTCCTCTTCAATTCTACGTAGCAATTCGTGAACAGCAGCTGCGATTTCATCCACCGTATTCAAGTGGCACCCTTCCTCCACCTGTGTCCCATTTCACCATACATAGAAAAAAGGAAACACGTTAGCTGATTGGAATTAAAAATAATAATAATAATTAAATTGCGCCCTGAAAAGGGCAAGAAAGAACATATCAGAATAAGAAATTTTCAACTAGGAAATTATGCATGTACGTTCTTTGCGGACCTAACCAATTGGCTCGTTACACGATTAAAAGAAATACTTGAATTTACGGCTTCACTCAAAATAATGTCATGGTGTGATTGACGCGACTTCTACTTTCGACAGTTGACATTTTAATTTTTACTTTAAAGCTTGAAAATTCATTTTTGTTATACTTACCAATAAGTATTTCTTAAAGTCTATTTAAGGATACAGAGATTAATAAATAAAAAGTTGTTCAGAATACTTTCATTATTTTTAAGAGTTAAAAATATAATAATAATATATTCTCTTCCTGGTGAAAAGATTATTGTTTGGAGGACTTTAAGCCCTACCTGAACAGTCCTCTAATATTCGAGCCCAAAAATCAATCATGCTGCATCGGAAAATCAGTAGGAAAAGAACGAAAGATATGAACAGAGAACACGTGAAATTTGTATTTTGCTATGAAATCTCAATTTATCTCATAATGCACGACAAAGTCTGATTCTCCAACCTGTTATTCGTGCTACAATATCTAACCCTAAGCGACTACACGTAGATAAAACACGCTATGATCACGTACTTAAGCGATGTAGAATTATTACAGTATACAATCCTAAGTGGATTTGAGATTACAATTAACAGTACGAATAAATTCAAGCTGTGACAATGTCATTCGTCTCGGAATATAATAAGATTAGCTGAGACAGAGAGCATATTGCATGAGCAGTAAAAGACAAGCCCACCTAATAATTAACACGCGGGCGTATCATTTCTTGGCAAAGAAAACGGAGAAAAACAATAGGAAAAGACAAGTGGGGCGTGTGATGAGAAACATGGGAACGGGACTATACCTTGACGCTGACCGAGTAGAGGACCGAGTCGTCGACGGTGGTGACGTTGAGGTGGAGCACACTGAGCCGGAGGCTCTGCAGCCCGGCCACCAGCTGGAGCAGCTGCCTCGGCCTCTTCTTGGAGAGGATCTTCATGTTGGCGTGGCTCTCCACCATCGTCACCTCTATGTCCGCCACCGCCCACTGGGGGTGGTGGTGGTGGCAGCCGCCGCGGTCCTCCAGGGCTGCGTCCGGCTCGGCTGACCCGCCGCACTGGGTCGGCGCCGACCGGGTCGAGTACTGCGGGAAGCTGAAGAACTCGGCGAACGGGGACGAGACATCGTCGCTGTTATTGTCGATGGCGGTGGTGGCAGCGGCGATGTCTTGGAGTGGTTTTGGTTTGGACTTGTGAGTCTGCATGGACTGGAGGAGCTGCTCTAGCTCCTTCACGAAATTGATCGCCCCTCCTATGATTGAGGCTTGATCACCCTGAGGAAATAAAAAAAAAATATATTAACATGTCGAGCTATATATTTATTTAATGAGAATGCATGTAGATTTGCGAATTCTTGAGCTCAGATATTGAGGGAACTCGTCACCGGGTTTCAAAACGAATGGATTAATAAAATAAGTGAGGTGCACTTATTGCATATCTCGAAATTTGGATGGCATCATTAGCTAACTCGTAAATCATTTTCAAGAAAAGAGGGAAACGGGAAAGCTGAGAACACCGAGGCAATCGCGAAAAAAGCAGTCACGAGAAAGGTGGAGAGAGGCAGAGAGAGCGGCGTTCAAAGATGATTTGACCTCACTCTGCGACCCACCTCCCCCAGCTCGGAAAAGATATCATCATCATCATCATCATCATCATCATCATCATCAACTACGTTAGGAAAAGAGGGAAAAAGGAGATATTGACTTGCTCTGACATTTTTCGTTCATGGAAGAGAGAAAAAGGAGGTGAGTGTGGCTATGGACTGACCCGCTGGCTGTAGGAAGGGGGCATGAGGGAGCGGAGGACGGCGAGGTACTCGTTCATCTGCTTGCGGCGGTTGCGCTCCACCGCAATGTGGGTCATCCTCTGGTTCTCTATCTCCTCCTTGTTCTTGCTGCTCCGGCTCCTCCTCCTCTTCCTCCTCCCCCCACCAGCTGCTCCTCCCCCGCCGGCCCCCGCCGCGGCGGACGGGGAGTGCTGGCCGTTGCCGCTGCCGGCCTCTGTGGCGGCGGTGGCGCAGGTGGTCTCCGGGGACGAGGAGTTGGGGTCCACGGCCGGCCACTGGCTGCTGGTGCTGATGCTCACGCCGTGCATGGCCGAGGTGTTGGCCGAGGACGAGGAGTAGTAGTCCCAGCATCCATTGTTGCCGCTGGGGTCGTCGTTGAAAGCGTCCAGGAAGGCCTTCTCGTCGGCAAATTCTTGGAGGCCCCCGGCCAGGGCGTAGTACTGATCCCGACCGTAGCCGAAAGGGTCTTGTGGGTACACCACTGCTTCTAGCGCCATTTCTTTTTATGCTTTTTTACTCACTACTCTCTCTCTCTCTCTCTCTCTCTCTCTCTCTCTCTCTCTCTCTCTCTCTCTCTCTCTCTCTCTCTCTCTCGCTGCGAGTCGCTCGAATTGGTGTTTCTTTCTATGGAGAAGAAGGAGAAGAAGCCAAGGCGCAAGGTTGCTCTGAAAGAACAAACAAAGGCCCCTTTTTCTCGGTGTGGAGCTACGAGATGGAGGAAAAGGCAGTGTGCGGAGAGGGGGTTTTAAATTGGGTTCTTCAAAAGGGAGGGGGGGGAGGGTGGGTGGGTGTGTGTGTGGGGATGTGTTGCGGAAGGAATTGCTACAGAATGTCGCACGTGAGATTGTAAGAAAGAGTGGACTGGTCATTGCCTCTCTACTCTTAGAGAGAGAAAGAGAGATAAAGAGAGAGAGAGAAGAGAGAAGAGAAAGAGATTCTCTTAAGCACGAGCATCTTGAGAGACTTTGTTTGGAGAAGGTAACATTTCTCGAGTTCCTCTAATTAGTTGTTTAGACTAACAATTTCCCCCAAATATGCTGAACTATCAATATGAATTAAGTTTTTATGCATAACCCATTTCCTTAGCACTCTCCTTTCGCATGCGGAAACACTCGATGTGAACATAACCACATAAGCAGGAAGATCGAGACGAGCAGGAACATAAAGAAATAACTAGTGCGACCTGAACTGAATAAATGATACATGTTGCGGTTCGAACTCATGACCTTTTATCTCGTTTATTATGTTTGCTAGACAAATTGTTCTCCCTCACAAGGAAATATACCACGATATATCTCTTAATGCTCACTCTTCATATGTAATTCGGACCTTACGGCTAAATATATGTACGGGAAGTGGGATACACTTACGCTGGCAAGGTGATCGAGAAATTGGAGAAAAAACAAACGACAAACGGCTTGAGTGAGATACGGAACAACCGCTAGATCGAAGCGTCGAGCCGTGTTTGAATACTACATCAAAATTAAACGCTTTCCTCTAAAAGCTTATGATAAAAGCGATAGTGAATATCTATAAGCATCTCTAATTAGTTTCTCCTGCTCAGACAGGAGCCACGTATGGTGCAATTAACAAAGAGTACAAAGCCAAAAGACAGCCTTGGAATCGATTGGGACCCAAGGACCTTTGGTTTTGCTTAGGACCCTACTCCACTACCATGTTTTGGTTGCGTGGAGATCAAATGCATATCCCGCAACTTGAGCAAACCCCACATGATTTAAACAAATTTGTTTAATCGCGCAATTAGCAACAAATCACGTCCCACCCGCAAGTCATCTCCGACTATTTTTGTTTTTCTCTGGAGGAAGAAAAATTAGTAGTTAGCACCGCAAAATGGAAAGTGAACTCAACAGAAACCGAAAGGAAACGAACGCAAAAGCCAGCTCAGGACGAAGTCAAAAGAGATTTTTGAAGCCGGCCGAAAGGGCATCGGAATCGAGAGTGTTTTACCCCCTCTGTTCGCGCACCGCCCACTTAAGAGATGGATGAGCGCTTTCTTTTTTAGGGCAAATATTACAAAAAATCTTGAACAACTCTATACTTGCCAATTGCGACACAAAATACCCAAAACCTTTTTGTTTTGTGTCATGAAAATACCAGAATTTATACATGTATGATAAATGTACTTTGGATGGAACTGAAATAAAAGGTATATATGACACACCGGTATAAATTTGGTGTGTTTTATGACACAAAAAAAGTTTTGGGTATATGTGTGACCCAAAAATGTTCGGAGTATTTATATCATACTGAGTATACTTTGTAGTTTTTTGTGGCATTAACTCTTATTTTTTTTCATTTCGACCGGATCCGACTCCGACAATTATAGTTACGCCCGATCTAAGTTGGGTACGATCGAAAGCCGATGCCATCTCGGATTCAAGGCCCAATCGTGGTCATTAAGACTGGAGGAGGGCGACGACGAGGACGACGGTGCAGAGGGGGGAACAAGAAGAAGACCAGCTTCGAGGAAAGAAAAGTAGCTCGTGACGCACGACAGAGAAACGAACTGGTTTTCCCTTTCTTTATATCGGAAACTGGAGAGAGAGAGAGAGGCTGCCTAAAACCCTAGCCGGATGCGACATGCGGTTTCATTTGGTAATAATGCGGTCGGGAACACTTTGGACGTGAAAAAGAGAAAGATGACGAAAAGCTGATGATGCCCCCCCAGAGATTCTGTCTACGAGATCTATAAATAATAATAGTAGAGAGAAATTTAACCAAGAAAAATGAACGAAGAAAGAGGAGGAACAGAACAGGGTTACTTCAGTTCAGACGTCGGACATGCACAGAGCAATCCATGTGACCACACAAGCTGCCACCCTGTAATCATCCTCCGATGTAAACTTCCCCTCTTCCCAAGAACTTTTTCGCCCTAAATTTTTTTCGTTTTCCACCCCCCTCCCCCCAAATTTCTTTAAAAAACAATTTGATTTGCTCGAATTTCGATCTTTTGCCAAATTTCATTCATGCCCATTTCAATATAGTAAGATCACCCCCTCTTGGTATGGAATTCGTGCATCAACTCAATTATAATAGAAGACATTCTTTCTAGGGTTTCTTGATATACCCCTTCGGTTCTTGGGCTCTCTTCCATGGAGGGAATATTGTCGTTGCAGCCAGGCACCACCCCAAGGCATTATAATTCGCAGCTCGAGTATAATAATAATAGTGATTAAGGGTGCGCTTGTTTCGTGAAAAACTTAATGATTAAAGAAAATGTTTTCCGGAAAATCATTTTTTAGGAAAACGCTTAATTTTCTTTTGTTTGGTGATACACGATGGAAATTGTTTTCTGATGTTTGGATATCATTGGAAAATGATTTCAATCTCATGATTTTATTTCAGGCAAAAAGAAAATCAAAATTTTTAATTATTTTTTATTTCACATTTTTATTTTTTCTTTTCTTTTTTTGAAAAAATCGGAATTTTTTTTATTTTTTTATTTTATTTTTTCTCTTTTCTTTTCTTTTCTTTTCTTTCCTTTTCTTTTTCCCTTTACATTGCCACAACCGACCAGTGATGGCCACCGACGAGCTCAAGGCTCGCCTGGCGACGGCCACAGGTGAGGTCGAGCTCCCCGGCCTCGACCGAGCCTAGGCTCACCTAGATCTGGCGAGCTGCGAGCTCGCCGGCCTTGGCGGAGCTTTGGCTCACCGCCAAAGGCCATGGGTTCGCCGGCCTAGGGGAAGCTCTGGGTTCGCCGGCTCGCCCGACGATAGCCATAGGCGAGCTTGACCTCGCCAGCCTCGGCCTCGGCCGAGCTCACCTAGATCTGGCGAGCCGCGAGCTCGCTAGCCTCAGTAGAGCTCGGGCTCGTTGCCAAAGGCCACGGGTTCACCGACCTAGGGTGAGCTCGCGCAGCCGTCACCATGTCCAGCGACCGGCCGAGGAAGAAGAAAAAGAAAAAGGAAGAAAAGAAAAAAAAAGAAAAAAAGAAAAGAAAAGAAAAAAGAAAAAATAAATAATTCGATTTTTTATAAAAACAATAAAAATAATTTTTAAAAAAATAAAATATAAATAAAACTTCAAATTTGTTACATAAATATTTTTACAAGAACAAACGTTTCATTAATTAAGGACTAGAGCCCGAGCGCTGAGGACAAACGCATAGCCTTTGTGGACTCGGGCCGGAGGCTCGGGACTAGAGCTCGAGCATTGAGGACCTGAGCATGGCCTTTATGGGCATGAGTTTGGGTGCCGGAGCATTGGGGACAAGCACCAGGGGTTCGGGCTCAGCCTCAATGGTCCCGGGTGTGGGCGCCGACGGCTTGAGCCTTGGACACTGAGGTCTCCAGCCCGGCCGCCGAGACCTGGTCCTAAATGTTGGTAATCAAGAACCAAGGTCGGGGTTTTCGTGCCCAAAGCGTAGAGTTTCGGGTCCAACCGTTGATAGCTGTCATGCTTCGGAAAACGTTTTCCGATTCTTTCAAAGAGAAAATTATTTTTCTAAATTTAAACTTTGGTAAGGAAATATTTTCCGTTAACTAGGAAAATATTTTCCGTAGACTCATTTTTCTAAGCAAACCAAACACCGGAAAATGTTTTTCGCGAAACAAATGAATCCTAAGTTTTTGATCGATGTCATTCCAGTTGTGGCGGGTGCTCAGCCATGTTGCGATTCCTTTTTGGCACATTTGTTTTACCATGGTGGCGATTAAAGAAGTTGGCCGAAATCCGAAGACCAACTGGCATTCCATCGATCGTATCACCGAGAAATCATTTGATTATGCGATTCGATGGCCGATTAAGTCTTCGAGGGGATCTCTCCCCCAACTTGCCCCCTATGTTATTCATTTGTTTAACCTGTTCAATCGAGTTAGCTTGCTCCGTGGGATTATAGAGTATTGTCAACGTCCACCAAACCATAGGCCAAATATTTGTTTTCTTTTTATATTCATTTGGTTTTAGTCGTAGCCACTGTAGGCAGTATCGCGTTACGATAGCACATCCTCTAGTTTGGCACTTCCTCTCCGGAGCTTACTATCGTGTGGAATTTGATGGCCATGGACTTCATCGTGCGCTAGTTAAATATGATTATCAGAAATTGTTACTTTTCCTTCTGTCCATTGCCTAGAGGTTTGTAAGTGTTCGTGGATGTGACGCAAAAAGCAATAATGGGCTCCGATCATTTCCTACCGGGTTTTCACCCTATATGGACTAATAATTGACCTGTGAATTGACGTATATAAGTGTGGGACATTATTAAGTGTCAGTGTTATTATTGAGTAATTGACTAATCTCTTATCTGCATAATGTATCAGATCAAGCGGAATCTTCAGTGCTTAAGTTCTTCCTCTCACTCGATTGGTTTTGGTTTCTTTGAAAAACGCATGACCTGAAGTTTACCGCTATAATCATTGTTCAATGTGTGTTCAAACACGGAACCGGATAAAACCACTTTTTCAAACGCGTTACTGTCCAATATATGTTTGATATAAGGATCTTGTTAACGAGTATTTCGAGGTGCTTATTCAGCATGTTTTATTAGAAATATTTTAATTTCAAAATAGTATTACACAACACATAACATGAGAAAAACCAAATATTGAAAATTACAGATTTTCCGTCATTCTTGACTTAATAAGTGCATTGAAGTTACGTGTTAACGTAATTCATTGGATTTCATCATTCTATTAGTCCGGGTATGCTCATGGACTGTCAAGACGTGATATAGATTAGCTTGCATGATAGTGTAAATTAAGA